TTATAGAATATATGATTAATATGAGCAATTATTTATTGTGACGATGTCACAATATCAGACTGCAATTTTTCATCATGATGTCCTCGATCTAGTAGTGCCCTGTACATCATACTTTTCCTGTTAACAACAGTCATTCCAGTCATCTAACTCCAATCAGGAGACAACTTTTAAATTGAAATAACACAACTTCTGACCTAAACTGGAAGTTTGTTTATATTATATAGTTAGCCTCCTAATGCTAAGCTTTCCATATCTAGTCTTGACTTTCATCTATCTAATACCATTCTTGTGATTAAGGAAGGACAAATAGACAGACTGGTCCCACAATGTATGTAATTTGGTCTGTGGTCATTTTTTCAAAATTACCACAAAATGACATTTTAAAAATAGTAAATAATTCAGAATAATATATAATTGTATAATTAAGATTTATTGTAATTTTTTTATCTGTTGCCTAATATACACTAACCCTCAGATTAAATCAGACTAATATGAATGAAGGTTGTCCAAGTCTATAAAAGTATGAGTTAGGAGGAAATTTTCTCTGACAATGTGAAAAACAAGAAGATGGATGTACAGTACAGTAATTCATTACAATCAGATTTATATGGAAATTTTACTGGGCTTTAAAAATTTATACTACTGAATTTATTATTACAGAAAATAAACAAAAATTTCAAAACAGTATAGTATAGTCTTTAGAAAAATGTAACTACAGTAAGATAATTCATGGTATTGCAAAGACTTCCAAAACTTGTTAATTATAATTACTTATTACAGTTTTCTAGTCTATACAGTTTTCAAAAAAAATGTGTCAGAGTTGTCAGGGTCTGAGTTAGTATGTGTTTATGTATTATTATTTGTGTGTGTGTGTGTGTGTGTGTGTCCTTTCAACCATTTTTTCAGCCAACTGGTTGATTGCAACTGATTTTTGACCAGACCTACATAAATCATAAAAACCAAAGAAATCTGGCCCCTGTATATGCACCTTCACATTTTATTTAATATGCTACTTAAAAGTTGCCCATCCCTAGTTTAACACATTCATATGTTTTAATTTAATAGATATAAATAAGTTTAGCTTATACACTACTCATCAAAACTTATGAGATGAATCCAAATGTTAATGGTATAAAAAATGTAAATATAATTTGATATGAGCCTTTTCTATAGTATGATACAAATAAAAATATATAAACAAACACATACCCATAATTTATTTACTACGATTCCATTGAAAGTCATTAAAAATATATAAACAAACACATACCCATAATTTATTTACTACGATTCCATTGAAAGTCATTAAAAATATATAAACAAACAGGTTGTAAAGTTGATTGATCAAAGCAAATTGTCTGCAGCATTCACATATCAATAAACATCAACTTTAGTTTCTTGAAGTTAATGCAATTATATTTCTGAATAAGTTGTGGGTAAATACTATATGAATCTTTCTAAAGTATTGAGTCTAAGTTTAGATTGCAGGAGTCAGAATATTTTCACTTTTTAAGACATTCATCCATCATACATATCCTATGTGATCTCAGATTATAAAATGAAGTTGAGACAAGATTCCATCTCTAAATCATATTTGTGAAGTTTCAGTATCTCATAAAAATACTGCTGAAAAGCTAAGATAGTTTTAAAGATTTGCAAATCACTGAGACAACTATACACAATTCCTGTCCAAACCATTTTATCACCTTAAGTTCTAACATTACCAACTCCACAGATTAACAAATTTCCATGCATGTTAAAAACAGTTCAAGGAATCGAGTTTATTTAAGATAACAGCTATCAGATTCAACCAGTTCTAAAACCAGTGTTCTGATCAGGGCCGGATCATCGCATAGACAAATGAGACAAATGTCTAGGGCCCGGTTTTTAGAAGGGCCCGGTCAAACTGTCTATTTTGAAAAGATTTGTAAATAAGATAGTTTACTTTTCTGTCGGACAACTGTATAATACTGGTAAAACTGCTAAAATATTATATTATTTAAATATTAACCAAAAAGATTAAATTAAACAAGTAAAACGGCAAAACCGTATTTGGGACACGACTATATCTTGGAGACACTACTAAGCGAAATCACTTTGATGCTCAAAGCGGATCTCGTTCTCATTCTCCAATCTTTGGTATCGCTGCTTTTGGGCGCAATCGTTCAAACTTCACCAGCCACGATCACGAGGTCGTCTTCGATGCATTTTCGATGAAATTAACCTATCCAATTTCGAAATTTTTCTCCGTTGCCGCATCGGCCCGGGTTGAATTTTTGTCGATGCCTAACAAAAATTTCCCGTCTTTGAAAAAATAATTGTGGCTATTGTATCGTCCGAAATTATTTTTTTTTTATTTTACACAAACAGTATACAGTTTAACCCGATTATAACGTCAAATTTTTATCAGTCCCACGATTTTACTATACTAGATAATGTTAAAAAACCTACTTTAATGACATAAAACCCATTAATGTCATATGAAGCACTCCCAAATTTACAAAATTAGATTACGAATTTTATTTAACAAAGAAAATACTACGTGTTTAGTCCTAGAGTCAGAGTTCATTTCCTAGATTGACTGTTGGTGGTACTCTCATCATCTGACTTCGGTTTGCTTGTTTGTAGAGAGAGTCGCCATTTTGTATTTTACTTTGACTCGGTTCTCGGTCCCCCGAGTACCTACAAGTCTAGGTTTTTTATGCGCGCATGATTTGGGCACTTAATACTCTGTGCCAAATTGCAACTCCTGACATAGTACTCCTTCATACCTCTAAGCTGGTAACACAGCAGGCAGTACGATTTTATAGACAAGACATAGTCTTGTTGACAATTAATATTTTAAGGTAATATTGTTATTGTACAACAACTTTTGTTAGACATTTAATAAAACAAATTTCAATTTTTTAAATTTATAAAACAAACCGTTCAAACTTTTCTAGAAAAACTAAAATTTATTGTTGTGTATTAAATATTTTTTATTAATTATTAATAAAATTTTAAGATTTGTTTTAGTTTTTCACATTATTTAGTTTTGTTTTATTTATTGTTTTATATTTTTTGTGTGCTCTATTTCTTGTGAGAGAGGAAGGGGGCCCGGTAAGAAGAAAATGTCTATGGCCCCAAAGTGGATTAATCCGGCCCTGGTTCTGATTGTCAATATCATTTTTATTTGAATTCTTTTCTTCTTCCTCTCAAAAATTCATTGAATCTGACAATATATTGCTATCTCAAAAACATTTTACCTTGAATAAACTTGACTCCATGAGCTGTTTTTAGCATGTCAGAAGATTCGTTTACTTTATCATCTCCACACTCATTTCTTGTATCAAAATATTCTGAAAATAACTAGAAAGAAACAAATTAAATTCATTAGTAAGAAAAACTCTAGCTTATGCTGATCTTGTAACCATTCATAATGTTAGCAATTTCAATTTTTTAAAAACTCTGTTTGAAAATATTTATGGAATACATATTGTAGGGTATAATACATAAACTTCTTGGATATAGTCTTAAAATAACAGTTGATATCAAAACAATATGTTCTATAAATAATGCCATGAGAGAATGGACTGACATCTCAATGTTTAGTAATTAGTCATATAACAATCATTAGATAAATAAATAATGAACTTACTGGATAATGTATAACTAAAAACACAACACCTTATTAATCCAGCAATATTTAATAAGATAATAATAACGTTTTCGACTGTTTTAAACAGCCTTCATCAGTTAAACTATTTCAAACTAAAAGAATGCTAAAAATAAAATACTATTTTTCTATCTTATTAAATATTGCTGGATTAATAAGGTGGTGTGTTTTTAGTTAACAATCATTAGCCAGTGGTGTACTTCTGAGGTACTCAAATTGTAAAATATACATGTAAACATTAAAATGGTCTTGCAGATAGAATGCATATATTTTACATTTTCATATTATTACAAAATTGAATTAATCTCATTGATTTATATTTCTAAATTTCCTCCATCTAGAAATGAAACTAGTAATAATAATCCATAGCCAAACATAAATTGAAGGTTTATATCTAGTTTGTTTCCATCCTTCTACTTTTATTGCATGAAAAAATAATATCCACTTATCCATTTATAAACATTTATGATTAACACAATACAAAAACATATTTGCAATTAAAATTTATCAAGGAAAGTATGGCCAATTTTATATTCTCTCTCTTATTTACACTTTATCAAAGTTCCCTGTATATTAATTTTAGTATGCAAATCTTTTCTGTATTAGTATTAAATTTTGATTTCAGGATTTAAAAAGCTGATTTTTGCCCTCTTAATTTTTAATGAGCAGTGTTTTTTAAAATGAAAAAAAAACCTCAAATATATAAAAATTTTCAAGCAGCATTTTGAAAACAATCATGCAATATTCTGATTATGATAAAATTATTTCAGTCATGATGTAATAAATTATTAATATATGTAATTTCATTCCACTATTTTGAATAATTTCAAAATTTTAAGTGTCAAATATTTATAGAGCAGGATATTATAGAATATTGCATAGAGCAGTGTTTTTCAACCTTTTTTGCATGACCACTAATTACATGAAAGTATGAATTATGCTCATTTATTACACTTATGTATGCTTATCTAAAGTTACTGTATTGGTACATACTTGGCAACTCTATATTACTATTTAAATATCACCAGTAATCAACTGTGCCAGCATAGTATAGTCAAATATTTTTCTGAAAACCAGTGAAATTTTTTACCATGGACCAGCAGTTAAAAAATATTGATATAGATCCTTTTTTAATAAAATGTGCCTTCCTAGCTTTATTTTTCTTGTCCAGGATTAATAATGAAAACTAAATTTCTCACACTTTAAATTATTAAAGTTTTTAATAACTTAAAGTGTAATTCTTATGTTTAAAATTGTAATATTTGTATTTAATAATTCACAAAAAGTATGAAAAAATACATAAATAAAATTTTAAATATTCAAACAGCAAACATAGTCAACATACAGCTTGTCCACGGTTCGTTCTCCATAGAAAAGCACCTAAAAGACATCCAGTTCTAAGTCCCAATTGAATAAAAACAGCTTCATGCTGTTGATAATTTTTTGAATTATTAATCCAGTCTTCTAATTCTTTCAGTTCAGGATGAGAAACTTTCGCTTTCTTTTCTACTTCGTTCCAAACTATGAAAACACGATAAATATTTTGAGACTTTAAATATTCCGCGAAATCATTTGGCTTCATCGATAACAGATCTGGTTTCTCGGATACTTCAGTAGCAGTACATAATTCTCTGACATAATGATCGGATATCTTGACTTGCAATTTTTTTTCAGAAAATACTCCATTACAGTGTTTGTAATGTCTATAGGATAAATTCAAAGTCGAAGCTTTAGAATTTCCAGCAAAAGAAGTCACTGACACTTGCAGTAATCTTTTAGATACAAATATTCCTCTTTTCAAACAATTAGACATTGATAAACGTAATATTATTTAAAATATTTTAAACAACGTTCTTATTCCTGCGTAAATATCTAGAAAAGTTCATACACGTTAATTTCAAACAACCTCCACACTTGTTTACGACAAATATTTGTCCCTCTGGTGTTAATAAATGAAAATGAGGAAATTTTTTTCGTAAAAAATATTTGTATTATTATTTTAGAATATTTATTATAAAGTTTATCGTGTTGTGTCATCTAGATTATTTATATTAAATATATTAGATTAAAATCTTAAAACATTATGAAATCCAAGCGGCGAGTTAATTTGGAGTTCCACGTTTTGAGACCTCCTGAAACAAAAAGAAAATAGTTAAAAAACGGCAAAATTTCTTTGGATGTGTGTTGGCGTCTATTTCGTTTAATACCTAAGGATGTGGTATTTTGGCCTGGTAGCTTGTGTATAAAGGAAATTGTTATTAAATTTTTGTGGTTAAAGGTCGAGAGGTATAAGGGTGCCATTTGCCATATTTCTAGAGGGATCGGAGTTAATGAAAAGGTTTGGTTATTTATTTTGTTAAGTCATGGCAACGCAACAGTTGGGCGATCTGCCTAGGGGGATACCTTCCGGGAGGTCTTTTTTAAGGGAAACTGCCCCCTATTTAGGCGTTACAGACCTGGAGAAAACCCGGAAAACTCCACTTGGCCAGCCCGTCCGGGCGAGGGCGAACCCACGAACCGAACTCCCAGTGTTCAGGGTACGAAGACCGCTTGGCCACTGGTGGGCCGTAATGAAAAGGTTATTCGTTATTAGCATTTACAATCTTTTATGAAACTTATCGTTACTCTTAAAATTAAGCCTTTTGCCATTTTATAATAATTAAAAATACTGTATAAACAATTTTTATAATAAAATCTCATAACAGATGACATTACACAAATTTTATTTATTATAATAAAAAATATACAGGAGTGATACAGTTGAGAATCTGAGAAATACAAATGTTTGGTGTTCATTATTATTATTTTTATTATCTTTTATTAGTTCGTATTCCTTATCTGTGATTTAATTTAAACATAAAATAAATGTTTTTTCTTCCTAATTTTTTCCTGTATTTTTTCCATAATAACTACTTTTACACCCCCCGTATTGTAAAAGTTATTTTTTAACAACCGGGAAATTTACGCAACTCGTTGATGGATATTTTTCAAACGCATCATACGTTCGTCTAGTCCCATAATGTTTTCTTTACTCCTTCCTCCCTGTGGGCACTAAGAGGGCTTCGTTTAGAAGCCTACCAGTGGCCATGCGGTTCCGTTCCCTGAATACTGGGAGTTCGGTCGTGGATTTGCATATCGCTCGGACGGGCTGGCCACGTGGAGTTTTTCGGGCTTTCGTAACGCCTGAATAGGGGCCAGTTACCCTTAAAAAAATCTTTCGGAAGGCATCCCTCTAGGAAGATTGCGTTGTCATAACTTAACTAAACAAACAAGCCTCTTTTAGCAAGCCCGTTATGGATTTGGCCAGACCCACAATGGGACGGCCGGGTAGTGATGGACAGTGCCCAACATATCCGGACAGAACACCACATGAAAAAAATCCTGAAGCTTTTTCGACCCGTTCCGTTTGCATTTTCTTTCGCCCTAAACGCAGCTAATTCTCTAGATTGGTAACATTGCATTATTCAATAGCTCAAATGTTGGCAGCAAAAGTGTCTACGACTTCATGAAGTTAGTGCGAGAACGAAAATTGTTTCATATACTACCGCTATAGCATACGGCTGACTGCTTGCATGATTATAAAAAGACTGTAAGTTAAAAGTAATTTTTCATCATTTATTTCATACAGTTAAAAATATTTTATCAAAATAAATAAATTCTATGGTGATTGAATTGAATGAGGAAAAAAATAATAAACAAAAAAAAATCTATCAGTGTGACTTATATGCTGGGGTTACCTGTGCACTAAATTGTCTAAAAAAGACGTTTCGAATGTGAGTTACAGCGCTACATACCAAATACAGTCTACAACAGATATCTATTACCAAATACGTGTTTATGCTAATGAAACTAATGTATATAACACAGTATACAGTCAGGGTCCGCTCTAGGGGCGGACAACCCGGACATTTGTCCGGTGCGGCAAATCTAAAGGGCGACATTTTCGTTGTGAATGTGACAAAATATTTATAAGTTAAATACTTACTTAATCGAAATTTATATTTGTCGATTTTTTTCTATGGCTAAAATTACCATGCAATTTACATTTCATATTTATTATTTTTGCCTAAAAGCTAAGAAAATATTTGCATTCCTTAATTTTGAAGAAAACAACCATAAAAGAGGGCTTTTGAGCAAAAAAGAAACCATAACGCTAGCAGATTCGCGCTCTACACATTTTTTGTCATGGGAGAAAGGCCACGTGGTGGTTTTTCTCTCTTGTTTTTTTATTAGAATAAGTGCACCACTCCTATGGGTTGTATAACACTAAGAATACGTAAACCAAAATACATGATACAAAGTAAGCATAAAGACTAGAATAAAGATAAAAATTATAATATTTCATATTTATTTGAACTAATTCGAAATACACGAAAGCGAACAACTGTCTCGGCAGCCTCTTTTGTACGAATCATTTACAGAAAAGGTCGACGCATTGGTAACAATATGAAAGTTGCCTAAAAAAGCGGCTTTAATACAGCCGAATAAACAAACCAATGACAATCGGTTTCATTTATATTTGAAACGAACTAAACGTTTGAATTGCTTAGCCAGCTGTATTACAGCTGTCTTACTAGACAATGCACCCAATGATTCCTGGGTTATCCACAGTACGATAGTTTTTATTGTTTTTTCTAATTGGACGTTACAGGGCAGTAATGGCGAATCTGTAAACCACTAATCATTGCGTGACCCGCGAGAAGATTTCAAGGTACTCATAGTAAATGTTTAGAAAGTATTAATTTTTGCTATCGTTACTTTTTGCCCGAGCAAAGCCGGGTTCATCTGCTAGTGTACGAATATAACCAAACAATTCAGGGGCATTATGTACGAAAGAACGAGCTGTCCGAAAGTCCAGAATCATCTTACTTGGCTTAGCTTTTACATTTTAAATATCTTTTTAGTTAAAATCGCACGTTTTTGAGAAATATTAAAAATTACATTCGTATTTAGACAAGAATACATTTCGGAATATTGCCGAAAAATAATCAATTAAAACTTTACTGAAATATAAGATTCGGACAGACCGAATGACTTTTCAATTGAATTCATTATTTTTTTAGCAGTGTTTACCTTCCAAAGATTTCAATTTCCATATTAAAAGTGAAAAAAATAATTATTTTCATTAATAAATTTAAAACATTTACGAAATATTAATGTGGCAACACATTATCTGAAAAACAAGATGGAGACTTTGTTTCGTGACTGAAACGAAAACTTGTATAATAGTTTTGTTTTGTAAGTATTCATTATCGTTATTTAGTGCATATATTACTATTTATTTCTTAAAAAAGATGAAAGTGCATAAAATGGAATTAAAAATTTCTTAGAATAACTTGAATGGCACAGAAATAACGAATCCGATACAATTTTTGGTTAATGTTTTTGGTACAGACACATTAACCGTGTACCTAGGTAACCGCAATGACGGTGCTTCGGTTAGGTTCGTTTCGTTTCCGTTAGATTAGCTACATTCTTAGTAACGTTTCCTTTTTTTCTTTTTGTTTTAATTTAATTTGTTCAAGAACTACCGTGAATCAATAACTAGTAACGTTAAACACTCGGCGGCTCCCCTCCGGGAGGAGTCCGTCGGGAGCACGAACAGTCGGAAGCACTGCCATTGGGGTTACCTAGGTACACTTTAACCAAACCATATCTAATCGTTAATATGCTTTTGTTTCACAAGCACAATAAAGTGCAATCAGACACTGGACAGTTTTCATCCTGTATTTATTCTTTTTTGGTTGATATTCATTTTGGGCTCAGTGACCCCCTTGGTCGACTATTTTTAAAATGTATATGGTTACTACATAGCATTAAATTGTTAAGATGACTCATATAATTACGAAGAACATACCTTCTGTTATGTTACATATTACACCCAACAATATTTTTAAAAATTACTTACATTTTCTTTACTGTTCAATATTGATACAACAATAATACCGATACAAAGCATCCAATAAACAAAGCTAAACATAATTTATCTTGATGTTTTCCAATTTTACACTGGCTAATATTGTATTTTCATTTTACATCTCTTTATGTTCTTATCTCCTTTTTCTATTATTTTTTCCACTATTACTTCTATTTCAAATACTTCTATCCACAATGCCCTCTATGAATGAAACTGTTCCATGATTGATGGATTTCTTTTCCTAAGTTATCATTAATTCTATTACCTTGTTTTTTTATGTAAATATGCTCAAATAATGGATTCACTACAACTGGGCAATTTCACAATGGGTGATAATCAGGTAGGCAACAGTTAACTGGGCAACATAAACTTAAAACTTTTGCACACTTAGCATATGATTTGGCAGATATTTATTTATTTACTTTTCTTTTTGTAAATATTGGTAAAATATATATAAATACAAATATAGTTTAGAATTATGAGTTACAAGTTATGAACTGTGTATTACAAGTTATTTCCAAATTAGGAAAATAAAATGTTTTGGAACTATGTACTGTAGCATAGTTAACTATTGTATGTCAGAAGCAGTTAACAAGGCACATCAAAGAAAAGTGGTTATTCGAAAACAAATTCTTTTGAAGAACTTTTATACTTTTGTTTTAATGTTAATTGTATTTAATGTATAATGTAGTGTATTTTTAATTTTTTGTAATTTTCATCTTTGTTTTTATGTATATTTGTTAGTTTTGGAGTAGATACTGATCATCCTTCGAGACTTTTTTATTTACTTGTAAAAATAAATAAACTATGTAATACATATAAATATGTTTATAAAATTGTTCTTTTAACTCATTTAACTCATTTCTTTAAAAATATTATTATTTAAATTTACCGGGTATTAGATCAATAGAAAAGAATGGTGATTTTTATAAAAAAAAAAAAAGTTTGTTCTTTGTCTATTATTCATCTGTTATTTTGCATCCCAGATGTCCAGCACCCAGTTAGTAGTAGCCTATTGCCCAGTTGACGGTGTCTCCAAATAATTGTCTTTAAAATCTATTTCTTTCTTGTTTCTTTATCATATTTAAATTAATTTTGCATTTTTTGTTATTACAGTACTATACAGTAGACCCCCCCTATAATACTGTTGCTAATTTCATTTTATATGATTTCCATGTTGTACGAGTCACTTAGATTTTACAAATATGTGAGCCGTTCACAGCATGACACGTGTATTTGTAAAATCTAAGTGACTTGTACAACATGGAAATAATATAAAACAGAATTATCAACAGTGTTATAGGGGTCTACTGTATTATTTATTTATTTTTGATTTCATTATATTTGAATTTACTATGAAATTTGTTTGGAAGTATTTGATTATTTTTCAACATTTAAGTTTTGAATTTGAGATTCTTGAGTAAAAGATATGAATTTAGGATTCAGAATAGGATTGAGGAAACTAATCTTGATTCCAATGAACAGTCAACAATTCATTGACTTTTAAGATTTCTGTATAACTATATATAAATATTACCTAGTTTAATTTATAAAATTTATATAATAGCTGCAAGGACCCGCTTCACTGGGTTTTTATTTGTTCGTACATTTGTATGTAATATAGTTTTTTATATATATAAAAGACTGTTTTTCTAAGTAATCTAGAATCTAGCTGCAAGGACCCGCTTCGCTGGGTTTTTATTTGTGGACAAAAAGTAACAATAGTGAAGATTAAGATAATTACATTATAGCCAATCTTACCTGTTTTCACAAAATGCAAGAATTAGGTCTCCCGTTTCCAGACGTTTCCAGAGAATTTTTACATGAGCATAAAAATATGTTCGATTTCCCGCAAAAGCGCAAAAAACCGCCTGTAAATCTTGCATGCCGCTTTATATTAACACTTCCTGGTCCCGATTCTATTTCTGAACGTCTCTTGTTCACGTCCAGTCAAACTATCATTTGACCATA